AGACATTACCTTCAGGGGCTTTTGGGACAGGGAGCTTGAAGTCAGTGAGGCCCCAGGGTGCCCCAGGGAGTATGGCAGTCCATCCTATCCTGCCAGGCCAGAGTCCAGGAAATTTAACATCATCTCCATGATCCCCAGGGCCATTGCTTTACAAGTGCATGTCTTGTGTATGGCTCAGGGAAAACAAGTGAATCATCCAGCTGCATCTCCCTTTACCATTGCTTCTAGAGATGGTATAGCTAAGCAACATGTACCGTTAGCTTTGCTGGTGAGGACACCACTGAGCATGGTCACAATGGTGATGGGGTCATACCCTTCTGTTGTTCAGGAATCGAGAGTTCAGCCAGCTGAAGCCACCAGCCACTACCCTGGGCTGCATGGATGCTGGTGGTTGACCCCTCCACCCTGGAGCATATCAACACTTTTCTCTGGGCCTCACCCCATGAATAGTGCATGCTACCCTGCTCACCCTTTCGTCCTGAACCAACCTCCACCCGCCAAGGTCTGACCTATACCCTCCCACCCAGGGATGTCGCGGCAGCAGCCAACTGGGCTCCACTAGGCTGAGGCTGTGGGCAGAGGCCACGGTAGCTGTCCCCTTGAGATGGGCCAGGTAGCCAGGCCAGGTTAGGGTCCAGGCCTCACAAAGGGCAGATACCTGGCATTGTTATTCACCGTACACTCCAAATAGAGAGAAGCAGTTACTCAGCTGGGCTGCTGCAGAGGCCCCATGGCTACCAAAGAAAAGGACTCCCCACATCACCTGGCAGAGTAGGCACTACCTCTCATCTACCAAGTGTGTATGACAAGGCCTCCTGCCTGAATCTCTGCCCAATGGGCCTGGCAGGTTTCTGTGTGAGCAGTGGGACTGGGTGGTTGCAGGCACCCCCTCTACTACGAACCTTTGGAGCTAACCTGGGAGTGCCCCTACCCCGTGGCTCCTCCCTGGTGGGTACTACATGAGGGCCCTAAAGATCATCAGCAAGGGCCAGCATCAGGGTCGAGAGGACTGAGGTGTGGTCACAGTTGAGATCAGGGCTGGGCCCACCAGTCCAGGGCCCTGGCCCTTGTGGGTCTCAGCCAGGCCCATTGTGTGGAGACAATGGCTTCCTGAGCCACAGGAAAACCATAAAGAGCTTGCCTTTGCCACCGCCCATTGCCCCTTTGAAGACCTGGGCAGGCTGTAGGCACCACTGGTCTTAGAGCCAACCCTTGGCCCCACCCTTGCCAGCCTGGCCCAGCTCAGACCTCCCCTGGGACCAGCAGCCCCTCCAGGCACGTAACACAGGATGCAGGGACAGTGGCCCACAGCTCAGCAAACATGCAGGGCCTGGAACCCCCTCCTGGTTCACCATGGGTCCCTCCCAGTGTCTAAGGAGCAAGGGCACCCTGCAGGGCAACAGCTAAGGGAATGTGGAGGGCACTGATCATAAAATGGGTGCCTCTGGTCTTGGGGGAGGAATAGTGTGCAGATCCTGAAGCCAGAAGGGCCATCTGTCTTCAGACTGGTCCTGGATGCCTCTGCTGGCCTGGGGCATGATGGGCTAGTCCTGCAGTGGGGTGCAGTATTGGTGGCTCCAAGGCCATGGGTTCAGCAGAGGTGGTGGGACCCTGACAAAGCCCTAGTGGGCATCCTCATATCCCTCCCTCCTGACAGCTACCAAGGAGTGTCCTTCGACAGAGGCTAAGGGCAGCCACCAGGGGGCACACATCTCAATCACCATTCCACTGCACTGGCTTCTCTCCCAGCAGTCTGACACCAGTGCTCAGCACCCGCTGCGACCCCAGAGGTCTGGTCTCTGTGGACTGTCACGGAAACAGTAGGAGCCCCCATCCCCTGGAAGGGCCTGGTACCCTGCCACACACCTCCTAGAGGCTAGGAGAGATTGGTGTCAGGCTGAGGCACCCTTCCCCTGGGCAAGCCAGCCAGGAACAGAAGAGTTCCCAGAAACAGGCCAAGGGGTCAGCGGAAGGGCCTGGCACAGGGCCGGTGTCCAGAGTGGTACACACATGGACCGGGATATGGGTGGGTGGACACACAGGAGGACATGAGGGAGCTAAGTGGGGGTGTGCACACAGGGACAGAGTGAAGAACAAGATCTCCTGCCATGCCTGCCTGGGGCAGTGTCAGGGAGGGGGACAAGGAGCTGCTATATGCAGTGAGGTCAGCCCTCCACAAGTCTCAGGCTCAGGCTGTCTGCCCTGGGTGCACATGTTCACACGCAAACTCCTGCCAGCCTGCCTAAGGGAGCAAGGGCTCTGCCCATGAGTGAGCCTGCTATTCCTGGCCAGACCCTATCCTCAGGGCCCACTTCTGCAAAGAGGGTTCAGGACAGGTGTCTGGGCAGCCATTTCCCTGCTGGGGGACCTCTGTGGCTTCACCGGTGAGACCAGAAGATAGGAGACCAAGTCAGTCCCACTGCTGTTTATCTAGACCAGGGCAAACAACAGATGTAATCTGCACTCACACAAAACAGGCACCTGGCCAGTGCCACAGAGAGGTCGAAGGGGGTGTGTAGTTCCAGCCCACTGCCACACATGGCCAGCCTGTGCTGGACCTGCCACTTGCCATCAGGGAAGTGTCCCTGTAATCCAGGGGCATGGCATGGGCTCAGCGTTGGCCTGCACCCCAGAAGAGCCACAGATGCCAGGTGTGGCAGGAGCACTCATAGGGCCAACACAGAAAGGTGGAGCTCTGTAGGATGCTTTGGGGCTTACCAGAGGCCACTTCCCAGGACCCAAGCCCTCACTCTAGGCACAGGCTAGGACAGAGCTGACAGGACCGAGATGGCTGCTGAGACAATGGGTCACTGGGGGCCACTGCCTCTCACAGACTCTGCTCTGCAGGGCTGCAGCTCCAGGCTGCCATGGCTGGAACTGAGCACTGACCCACAGCTGCTGTAATCAGCAAAGAGGGATGACCAGCTGCATGTGGGTCTCCATGGGGCAGTGGACAGGCTTGGGTCACAGGTGCCTATGTATACCCATACAGGGCAACTTGGTGGAGAGGGTCAGGGCATGAGGCCCTGTGCTCTCTGGGGCTGGTAGTGATGTTAATGGGGGGCAAGGACACAGCCAGGGAGTCCAGAGGACTCCACATATGTGCAAAAAGGAGCCCCCTGCTCTTCTCAGGGGCCTCCTCACCCCTGCACCTATGGGCAGAGCTGCACAGGGCAGCTGGGCTAGGAAGACAACATGCAGGGCAGATGGGGCAGGGTCTCTGACCAGTGCCCCATAGCCTGGCATTGCCCATCTTCACCCTGAGGTCAGGCTCTGGGTCTGCTGCTATGTTCAGCTCCTCAGGATGCCCCAGGAACCTCTAAAGATATCAATTCCTATAATCATTGGCACCTTGCTGGGGGTGGTGGCAGCCACCAAGCACCAAGTCCCATGGCTCAGCCAGCTGGCCAGACCCTTTGATGGTACCTCCTCCAGACACCCCACCTTTCATGGGGGTAGCAGGCAACAGGAGGGCACAAAAGCCAGCAGAGAGGGCTGCTGGCTGTCTGATACTCACATGTGCATAAAAGCAGGGGCCATGAGTGTTCCTCTCCCCTTGCTCCCTGGGGATCAGATGCAGTCTGGGGCTTCCTATAAGGGGCCCAAGTCAGAAGCCTCTGAGGTATTGCCCTGCACCCTGAGCAGACCCAAGACAGACCCAGCACAGACGTCAGGAAGGGGCATGCAGATAGAATGGTGGAGTGCCCCTCTTGGCCCCACACTTGTGCCAGCAGAGGCTGGGACACAGGGCTCAGGCTACCCCTGGGTAGTGAGGCTCTGTTCCCCCCACAGCCTCGGCCCCTCCATTTCCTAGCATTATAGTGCTTCCTGCTGTCCCCTTGGAGTAACAAGCCTCAGTTTACCTGTGTGGGACTGATGCCTACCCATTACCCAGTCCTCTTCCCAGGGTGCTGACCTCTCCCCCGCTGCCCTCCTTTCGCTCACAAGCCAGCCTTCAGCACAGATACTCTCTGCCTGTGGTGGGGCGTGAGCCCAGCCCCTCTTCTCCAGCTGTGGGAACACACCTTCCCTAGCCATGGCTCCACGAGTCCTGAAAACCCATCTTCAACACTCAGCTGCCCATGGCACAGAACAGGAGATTGCATCTTCTTCCCTCCCACCTCACCTCCCCGCAGGGGACCCACAGCCTGACAGAGTCCACCAAAGCCAAATTTGGGATGCCCCTCACTGTTCCATGTGCCCTGCCGCTCAAGCCTTGAAGGACCCCTGATTCTGGTTTTCCATTCTCCTTTTCCAAAACCAACCTTACCTCAAAGCCCCCCACACCTGCCCTCTCTAGCACAGCACAGCCGCCATCTCTGGCCTGGCCCCAGCACCCTCTGCTCCCCATGGGCAGGCAGTGAGCCCTGCCTGCCCTGACCCACACGTCCAGGTGTTGTTCTCACCGTTCAGGACTTGGTGAGTGGCCCTGCATGTGCACCCTTCCCCGGCACCCTCTGGCTCTCATCTGGAGGCACATCCATATCCATCCTCACCTCCACCACGCCCACATATCAACTGCCAGTCTGGGGATGACATAGGAATCTGCACTCCTCCCCCCAGGGTAGCCTGGGGGCTTCTAGCATTTTCTCTCCATTCATAAGGCCAAGGTGGGCCACATGGGAGGGAGCAGCCCCAACTCCTGACCTGAGACACAGTTGGGTCCCTGCCTGAGCCCAGGAAGCTGAAACTGAAGGACTGGAAGTCCTGCTCCCATGGAGACTTCTTGTGGGGAATCCTAAAGACCTGCCCCATCATCCACCTGTTCCTAAGGTATGCTGGAAACCACAGGTCAGATGTGCCACGCTGGAGGCCAGCCACAGAGCCAGACACACTGAATGAAATCACAGCCGCACTTTAGCCAATTTCTGCTCAGGTATAGGTCTTTCTGCATCACTTCACTTGGTGTGCAGCAGCTCTGGGACTAGGTTGGCTGCAGAGGGGCAGGAGGCAGCCTGGGGACTTCAGGTCCCAACACATTATCTCTGCACTGGCTAGGGTGTAGCCCAGATGCAGAGCAGTGTAGGATACCCAGCCCACCCACCTGGAGGCCAGTACCCTTACCCTACATCAGGTAGAATCCCTGCCCTCCCCACCCTTGGGCCACAGCCAGGGAAGTGGGGGTTCAGAGCCCTGAGCCCCAGGATGCCCCAGTACTTGCCCCTGGCCCTGGTGCAGAGCAGAGGCTCCAAGGCTATAGGGCGGGGCCAGTACCAGGTCCAGACTCCGTATCTTGTGCCCCCCCTTATGATGTCTAGCAGTGAGGGGGCCCCAGAGGTAGTGGGGAGCTTGTGCCACTTGGAGGGAGGTTCAAGGCAAACAATCAGTTCCAGACTCATGTGGCCACTAAGTGTAGGAACAGCTGGCCACCCTTGTACGCCTGCTTACCCAAGACTTTGGCCTGCACTACCTTCCCAGGAGGCGGCCAACAGAGGGGTAAAAGAGCCCTCAGGTTGTGGGATAAGAGCGGAGTCCTGGAGTGCAGGGCTGACAGGCTGGGCTAGGCACTCTTATGCCTCAGTTCCCTCACACTGGGGACATGACAGTGCCCACCTCCGAGTTTCTCCATTGGCCAGGAATAGCAAGCTGGGCCACAATGTGGGACCCAGGCCTCAGGCACTTCCTGGAATGTCCTGTCAGACACAGTAGGTCCAGCTTCCCCTGCTGGGTAGAAATGTTGCTTATGTTGCTCAAACATGGTCCAATATTTAAGTGCTATAGAGGCCACATGTGGCTGTGGGACAAGGGCTTCCTAGAAAGCAGGAGGTGCTGGCTGGTCCCAAGTCTTGGTGTCCATGCCTGGGGGCCCATCCAAGTCCCATGAGATGTGCTCAGGTCCAGTCAGGATGCCACTGGTCTTGAGGTCACACTCAGTAGCCATCATCATCATCACCGTCACAGCCGTAAGCTGCAAAGCATAATCATGGGAGAATGGACATGCTGGGGACCCAACCCAGGCTGCATCATGGAGGTCTCCTGGTCGCTTCATGTTTGTGGAAGCCTAGTATGGGGTCTAGGCTTCTCATAAGGCCCGTGTGAAAAGTGAGCACATGGGTAACCCCTCATGCCAGTGAGCCTGGAGCCTGCATCCCTCACAGTTGGCACCTCTCGCCCAGGCCAGCTACTTCCACCACATTCAAGGGCTACAGGCCCAACATGGCCAACACAGTGCCACTTAGTTCAAATGACCTTTCTTCCAGAGAAGTCTAGTCTGAAGTTCATGGCTTGAGCTTAGGCTTCACCAATGGCACATGGTCTGTGCTTGTATCTCTCTGAAGCCCTACTCCTCCATCTAGTTCCTGTGTCCACCCACCAACCACATGGGGTACACCCACCGTTGCTGCCCAGCATCTTCAGGGCACTTATGCAGGGTTCCCCATCATCCTCATCTGCATCGTCCTCCTCAGCCACCTCCTCGGGGTGGTAGGACACTGGGCCACTCTCCACCAGCACCACTGCTGGCCTGGCCAGCTCAGTTCCCAGAGCTGGGGAGCTTGGGAACGCAGCCTGGAAGAAGAGAGTTGGCCTGGGCGGGAGCCTCACACAGGCTGCCCTCCTGGCCCCTGCAGGCTGGCCCTAGGTGGGTCTCAGCACTGCTGCCCCATATCTGAACTGGTCGGGGGCAGGCTGGCTCTGTGTCCACTGGCCCCTGTGGTCTCCTGGGGCTATGGAGCAGGCTGCACAAGATATCCAGGCCCTAGCACCTGCAGGGCAGGACCCAGGCAACAAGGACCCAAGCTCACCCTCACCCTCACCCTCACCCTCAGCCCCCAGCTGCAGGCTCATGGCTGGCCCTCACCTTCCCACTGTTTACCAGGACACATACCTCTCCCATGGCCGCTTTCTTAGCTGGCTGTGTAGACACCAGAGGCCTCAACCTGAAAGACAATACAGTGTGGCCTCAGCCTGGCCTGCCTGCTGAATGTCCACCAGCTGGGGCTCAGAGGCCCATGTCTGGTGCTGCGTGGCACAGACCAAGTTGGTCTAGTGGCTGCAGATACTGTTCTTGGCTCAACGCCTCTCTGGCTGACGCTGGGTGTGTGGTCCACTTTGGTGTCTGGTGAGGTTCCTCCCCTATGTCTCTGTTCCTACCCTCAGGTCCCCTATTGATCCTGGGCCCCACTTGTTCCTTCCTGGATTATTCTTGGTGTGTCCCCTTGCTGCTGCCCCCAGGAGCATGGTCATGTCTACCCTAAATCCACTCTGTTGTGCATCTTGTGTTAATCAACATCTGCTAGTGGCTCACACTATGTGTAGGTGACAAAAAGATGCAAAAGCCACAGCAATAGCTCCTTTTTTTTTTTTTTTTTTGTACCAGGGATCGAATTCAGGACCTTGTGCTTGTGAGGCAGGTGGCAGAACCACTGAGCTAAATCCTAGGCCTAATGGCTACCTTTTTTTTTTTTCTCATTGAGTTTATTGGTACATTTTAGGTATACAGTACAGTTACATTCATCATTGGGCTCTTGTACCTTTACATTGGCTACCTTCTTGATTGGTCCACGGGTGCTACATGGCTGGCAGTCTGGACAGTCTATCCTGCCCCACACTTCTGGACACAGTGTAAAGGTAATGGGCAGGGCCCACACAGTGCAGCCGTGCTCAGCTCTTTCCATATTGCCAGTCCCCAAGGAAAAAGAGGAGGCAGGGAAGAAGGGGTGCACCAAGACCCAGCCTCCCTGCCCTGGTGCATAGCAGCACCCTGCACCAGGCCTGCCTTCCATCCTCAAAACCCCCAAAACAGAGATGGCCTCACACAAATGCCCACAGGGGACAGGAGCAGGCCAAGGCTGTTCAGAGGGGAAGAGGGGCAGGCCATCCACTTGAGGAAGGGTAGGCTTGTTACCACACCCTGGTCAAAGTGCGGGCCAAATGGAGGCTGGGCCTGTGGGGAAAGGCTGGAGGACAGAGCCGTCCACTGTGGAGCACAGCTGAGTGGGCAGGGGAGGGCTTGGGCTCACCTCTGCTGCTAGACTCTGACACCCAGCCCTGCCTGGTGACGTGCTGGATCAGTCCTGGGGACAACGTGGACCCTACGGAGCCCCCAAATATTGGGAGCTTCCCAGGCTGGCTGCTGCTGTAACCCACATGAGTGGATTCGGCCACTAGGTCTCACAGGAGGTCTGCATGCACCCAGAGAATGAGGTCCTGCCCAGCCTCACACTCTGGCCTACTTGGGGCCACCAGCTACCAACACCATTCCCAAACCTACTGCCAGTTCCAGCTGTCAACCTCTTGGCTCTGACAGCAAATGTTGCAGTGGAACCCTACAAACACACCTGAACCAGGGTGACGGCGACCCCCAGGCTTCTTCCCATCTGACAACCACAGGCACTGGGGGCTGGGCACCACCTTGCTGGGCTGTGATGGGGGCCAGGGGACTTGCTGGGCCCACCACGGTCCCTCTTCCAGTAGCAGGTACTAAGCATTACTCTCCACACTTGCTCCTCTGCTGCCCCAAGGAAAAAGGTAGTCTGATCTACCCAGACAGGGTACCCAGTCACTCCCTAGCTCAGGCTCCTGTGCCATCAGAGGGTGCAATATCCCATGTATCTGCACAGTGACAGTCAGGGCACCCGGAGCCCTGCTGTCCTGGGGCTGAGGGGACTTGGGCACATGGGAAATGAATGGTGGAGCTTTGCCCATTCCATGGCAGTGACACAACTAGGGGTGCCTAAGGAGAAGGCCACTGCATCCAGGGTCATCCAAGATGCCCTCTGGGGAGGCCTCCCAGGCTGTCAGTCCTTCATCCTCCCTGCCCATCCTTTAAGCCCTTCCTTCCACCCAGGGGGCCCCAGCAGGCCAGATCTGGTGGCCCAAATGAGCTACCACAGCAGCCTGGTTGGGAACCTCTGACATTGGGCCAGCATTGCAGTGAGGCTAATGGAGAAAGGCAGAAGCCCCCATGCTGCCTAGGGCCCAGGCTGAGTGAGCATGGATAGGTGCTGGGGCTCTGCACCCACTTCGGGAGATCAGATCTTCACAAATTGTCCTGGCTGTTTGGGACACTCAGCGAAGACACGTGTGTACACCTGGGCTATGAAGCAGGTGGCCAGAACTGCCACACAAGGTAGAACTCTCCTAGCTCATACAGGTCTAGTCAGGTGTCAAAAGTGGGGCTGCAGCTGATAGGAGAAGCTAGCACTGCGGGCCACGGCAGGTAACAATGAGGATCCTGTGGGGCACCAGCCCTGGGACTCTCCCAACTCCACACTGCTACTATCTGCTATGTTTATAAGGAAGGGCTGCTCTGGGACACAGTGTCCTGACTGCCCACTAAGGAATCACAAGTCAGCAGTCCCAGCAGTAAATTGACAATGTAAAAGCCCATTGAGGAAATTTCTATATTCAGATGGGCAGATGACAGAGTAGCCACCTGGAAGTCAGAATGCTAAGGAAAAGGACTCAACCACAGCAGGAAAAAGAGTAGACAGAGGGGACAATGCTACTCCTCATACAGAAGCAACTGAAGGCACCATGGAGACTGCTGCAGGAGAAGCAGGTCTAGATCTCTCTAGGAGATCCCAGGCCAATTGTGTCCCCAAGGTGGGCGACATAACAGTAACCCCCAATGAACAAGGCAAAGTGGCAGCGGGAGAAGGCCTGTCCTGGATGCCTGATTCTCCATTCAGGGAAAATGAACAAGCCACAGAGAATGTCTTCCTAAGGACCTGGCCCACCAAACATCACCATATCGTGCACAGGAGGACAATCAACAGCTCGGTGATGGCATGCATGAACACAGGGATCTCCGGCAGCACCAAGACGGGTGTTTTTTCTTTTCCCGGTACTGGGAATTAAACTTAGGATCTTGTGCTTGCCAGGCAGGTGCAATGCCACTGAACTACATTCCCAGCCCAAGATGGTATTTTGTAGAGACAGAGTTCTGTCAGTGTCCAACCACTGGAACAGCCACGTGGTCTCACTCCATAGTCACACGAAAATAATTTTCAGATGGATCAGAAACTTAGGATATAAAAAATAAAACCACAATGCTATTAGAAGGAAACTCACTGCAGTTTTCCTTACACCTGGACACTGAAAACACCTTTCTGAGCATGACACCAACCCCAGAAGCCCCAAGAAGGCCAGACTGATAAGCAAACTGACACAGACCACTACTTTAGTATTGTGAAAAAAAGCCACTATCAACAGCAAAAGGGAACAACACAGTGGGAAGAGACACAACGGGGAGAAATACATAGAGACAGATAGGTATTAGCTCCAGCTTCAGGGCAGGAGTGCCTTCACATATCTTTCCTTCTAGGATGGAAATGGAGCTGAGAGCAGGGTAGGGAGCGTCCACCAGGAAGCTGGGCAGAGGGATGCTTGCCACACTCAACCTTCTGCACAGGAGGGATGCACTGACCATTGCCTAGGGCATTGTTAGGAGAGCTGCAGCACTGCCTAATGGCTGCCTGCCCAGCTACAGGAAAGCACTGACGCTCATCCCCTGCCAGGAGGTGCTGTTGTGGTCCTGCTCACCACCTCCACCCACACCCACCTGCCAGCTCTCACCTCCCTACAGCAGGGCAGGCAAGATGACCAGAGGGGGCATGGACTGGTGGCTGGCCATCCCACTGGGCATCCCCTGGCCTCAAGACAGAGCAGACCTGATGTTGCTGGGTAAGGGGAGTCAGGACATGGTCCACACCACACTTAGACAGCCTGTCAGCCCCAGCATACAATGGGGCAGGGTCAGCATAGCTCCTGAGCCTCCAACCCAACCCTGACAGCTAGTCCAAGGAACAGGATGGTACCTCTTCCCCACAGTGGTCCCAGGGTCAGCCTTGTTCCTGCTGGCCGCCGCTCTCCTCCATGATAGCTTCCTGGTGCTGCCCTTCTCATCAGGCTGCTTGTCGTCCCTCTGGGGGCTGGCTGCACCCTTGCTGTTGAGGTCACGAAGCACGCTATAGTTGATCTTGCTGGAGATTTTCTTCTGCTCCAGCATCTTCTCGATGGCCTCCCTGGCAGTGCTGGCCTGGATGGGCTCTCGGCGCTTACAAGACTTCTTAGGCTTGAGTGAAACACAACTGTGAGGCCTCCTGTGGGCCATCACCTGCACCCTGTGATTGGTCTCACATATGGCAGCTGCAGCACCTGGGGGAGCCAGCAAGGACTCCTCGGGCCTCACTAGGACACCTAGCTGTGCCACTTTCCACCTCATTTCCTGCACACTGACTACCCTAGCACAGCTGCCCTTGAAAAGAGAAGAGAGTGCCCAGCAGGTCTCAAGGTATGGAACATGCTGCTGGGTGCAGGGAGGGGGGCACATCTTGGGCCCCAATTGCCATACTCTATGCTTTGGGGTAATCTGAAGTGAGCAGCTGAGTCAGGCTCTGCAATGGCCAGCATGGAAGGGAGGGCACAGACCTTCCTACATCATCAAACAAAAGGACAGACACAGGACCTTCAAATTCTCCATAGGAGCTCAAGGCCAGGGATCTCTGTCTAGCTCCAAGGCTCTGACACCCATACTGGGATCTCACCCCAACTTGGGGGGCAGGTCCATTGGTGATGGAGCCTGCACCATACACATGGCTAAATCAGGGCAACCTGGCAGCCAGGGATGCGGTGTGGGGTCTAGAGCACATAGCCTCCCACTGCCTGTCCGGCCTGGCCTAGGGTCGCAGGGAAGGCACAGTCTACAGAGATTTCCCCTCCCATTTGCTCCGGTGCTGCATGGGGGGCAGCTGGACCCCAGGCGGGTTGGGAAACACCTACCTTGTGCTCCTTATAGATGCCCAATTCCTTCTCCTTCGCTATTCTTGCTTCTTTCTCTAAAAGTTGGACAAAGCGGGCTGCATCAGTGAGGGCCTGTGCCCTAGTCAGGCAAGCAAGCAAGGGGCACTTACCCCTCTGCTCTCGCAGGTACTCAGCATTCTCCCGCATCCACAGCTCGGCTTTCACCCGGGCTTCCGCCTCATTCAGAATATACTGTGTGGGCACAGGGAAGAGCTTCAGCCGGGAACTTCTGCACTCCAAGTGTACTCTAAGATCCCACACCAACAAATTAACTTTCTCTTCATATATTATTATTATTGTGGTGGTGGAGATAGTACTGGAGAGTGAACCCAGGGCTTTTTTTACACTGAGCTACATCTCCAGCCTTTTTTTCAGTTGAGACAGGGTTTCACTGAGTCTCTGAGTTGCCCAGTTTGCAATCTTCCTGCCTCATCCTCCCAAAGTGCTGGGATTACAGGTATGAGCCCCTGGGCCTAGCTATATATTTAAATTTTTAAAAAGAAGAAACATAGGCTTCTGCTCAACATAGAACTCCGTTTCCCTTTCTAGCCACAGGGTCCTGAGAGGCCAGAGGCAGCAAAAGGCCTTGGGCTAGGAGCCCTCACCCCTAGGACCTGACATCTGAGACAGTGAGAGGCAGTGCTTACTCTGTCGATTTCTAGGTCATCAATGCCACTGAGGTCCAGCTCACCGTCCCCCGAGGTGTCTTCTAGAGGGAAGTTCCACATCAGTGTCACCCAGGGCGAGCCCTGTCAGAGGGGCGCAAATATCGCCTGGGCCATCCAGGCCTCTGCCTGTGATGAGACACAGCTTGAGCCTCTTCTTTCCCTTCCCCCACAGAATGTGTGCATGCTGCAGGGGATAGCAAGAACGTGAGTGCTAAGTGAGCAGGCAGGAAGGCAGGCTGCAGATGCAGAGAAAGCCCAACACCCCTGCTGTGGGGCAAGATGGGGACCTGAGCTCCCACCCAGCAGTGAGATATACCTGGGCCAGCAGGGCAGGGGCAGATATGAGGGTGAGTTTCAGAGTCCAGGCTCAGGAAGCCTCCTGGCCTTCTGGACACAGTGTGGCCAGGGGCAAAGTCTGCACCAAAGGAGTTCAGGCTGTGCTCATGAGAGCCCTTGAGCAGGTTACTTGGGGTACCCTCCTGCCTCAGCCTTCACACTAAGGCCTGGACCCTCTGTGTCTGCCACACTCCCTGTATTCTCCCAGCCATACTGGAGCAGTCTCTTCCTGCTCTGGGATTACTGTGCCCTGGTTACCTCTGTCCACTGCTCTCTCAGCAGCCCTGACACCAGGAAAGGTGCACAATGTCCCAGGGGCTGTCTGTGACTGAGTGGCATGCTGCAAAAGGCACCCAGAGATACACTGAAGAAGAGGTTGCTCTTGAGGAGAATGGAGAAACGGCCGACCAGCCCTGCTATATCTCTTACTGCTCTGGCCCTTCCTTAAGGCTGGCCTAGCCTGGTGGTTTTAAAACATGGGATGGGCAAGGAGCAGCAGGCACCTGGCACCATATGGCAGGGTGACTGTTCCCTGCTCGGGGCTCATCCCTGTGGTGCTCCAGCTCAGTAAGCAATGCTCTTGACAGTGGGAATGGACAGGCCACCCAGGGCAGGCTCTTTGCCACGGCCATTAAGGGAGGAGGAGAGTAGCACTAGTCCTTGCAGCCTTCAGACCCCACTCTTCCTCTGGACTGCTGCAGCTACTAAGCTCAGGCTCTAGTTCAGGGCCCTGACAATGCAGGAGAGAGACAAGCATTGACTCTGCCCCTCATTCAGGCTCTATAAGAAGATCACAGTGGTTCCCAGTTCACCCTTCCAGGACACTTCTCTCTCAGAAGACCACAGTAGCTTCTGGTTTACTCCATGAAAGAGACTGGACAGACCGGAAACACCTCCTGTCCCTGACTGCCCCATGAGCACTCACTGAGGTCGCGGTTTGGGGATGAGATACATTCACGGATGGAGTCTGAGATGCCCAGGCTGGCTGCTGTGGGAAGGGGTCCAAGCAGGGACTCCAGGGCCAAGGGCTGGCCTCCCTCCTCAGGACTCTCCACGACATCCGAGCTGCCGCTGCCTCCACCCAGAAGCTCCCGGTAAAAGTCCTTGTTCATGTGGCTAGCAGCTGCCTCCAGCTCCTCATCCTCAGCGTCCTCCTCACCAAAAAGGCTGGATGTGGTATCTTCAACCAAGCCTGGGGACACAATTTACAAGTCACCTGTCAATAGGAGTCTGACAGCCACTTTTGCGACAGAAACACTTTTGCCAAGCTACAAAAATAACCAAGACCGAAAAACACCAGCAAAAAGCACGTCTTTGATGCAGCACAGAAAGCATGGTCCTGCCAGCAGAAGCACTGGGCTTCTCTGCCTACGAATGACCTGGCCAAACCACACTGTGTGCAGAAGCTACCCCAAATGCACTCAGGCCTCGGATGAGGGCTAACAGCACACACACTGCACGGAAAAGTAGTGTCCAAGACTTGAGATTTCAGGTTGCTGAGACATAACACGAGAAGCAGAATCCATGAGATGCTAAGATGGATCTTGGAAGAAGTAAGAACATCTGCCCTCTGAATGACACTGTCATGACAAAAGGGACCCATAGGCTTCTCTGCAGGTCATGTGTGGAGTAAAGGGGGATGCAGAACCCATGAGGAATCCCCAACTCCAGGGAGAAACACATCACCATGAGCAATGAGAAGATGCTTCTGGGACATTCACGGAGAAACACAGGCTACCAGGTCACACCACAGGCACCACACTGTGTGGCCCCAGAGGATCTGCACACCATACTGAGCTGGAGGGCACGGACCGTCAGGAGCTCATGAGGAAATGCAACACTGTGGCAGCTCTGGAAACCTGCCAGGTTCTTAGAGGCTCAAGTGCCACTTTCCAAAAAACCCCACAATTCTGCTCCTTGACCAAAACAAAAACACTTCATATCCACAGACCACACACAAGTGTTCAGAGTATTTGTAATGACACAAAACAAGCCCTCAACGATGAATGGATAAGTGACCTCAGTGTATTCATAGTCTGTTACACCATAATAAAAAGCCATAAGTGATTGATAAATGACTCAAAATAATTATGCCAGAAGATAAAAGAGTGCATGCTAGGCATACAAAAGACTCTGGCACAGAAGTTTAGAAACACAACTACTTTAGGAACAGAAAGCACCAGTGGCAGATGGGGGCCAGGTGGGGTACACTGCAAAGGTCATGAGACGAGAGCAGTGACAGGACTGTGAGTGGCCTGATGTGTGATGATGGCTTCACAGGTGCATGCATGCAGCAAAACTCAAAAGCCAAATGACTCATTTTAATTAAGTATGGTCTGTTATGTGCCAATCACACCTCAAAATGCCTTAGAAATCAGATTGTCAACTTACTTGAAAGACACATTTGAAAACATCTCACTCTCTGCATCAGCTGCTAAGTGTGTTCTAGTGAGCACTCAGGGCCAGCACTTCATGTGCCAGGAGGGCACAAGTCTGCACAGATGCCTCCCTGGGGGCAGGCAGATGCTCAGAAGTGACAGCCCAATGCAGGTGTAACCCACAGGGGTCCAGGCTATTGCATGCAGTTCCTCCCAAGATAAGCAGGCCTAGGACCCAGGAGAGGATGCCATATGCCAGCACATTACCTGCCAAGCCCCCCTCCTCCACCCCACAGCAGCCCCAAATTAGAACCTCAGTCTTGCCCGCTTGCCTAACTGCCCTAGGGCACTGGGCCCATGGTCTCTGTTCTCCTACCGCCATGCCAGCTCCCACTTGTGCCCCAGACTGGCAGCAGACAAAGCAGGCTGACAGCAGGAGGAGATGGGAAGGAGAAACATATCTGTTATGTCATGATTGGGGCAGCTGTGAAGAGATACAGTACTGCCCCAAACACAATGGAATGAAGAAATTACATAAACAAAACCATTACCAGAGACACAAGTCTCCATGCAAAAATACTACTCAGGGCCAGGGATTTAGCTCAGTGGTGCTGCTGCCTGCCTCACAAGGGGAAGGTCCCAAGTTTGATGCCCAATACAAAAGAAAACAAACAAAAAAACTACTCAGTAAGTAAATTAGCTTCCTTCAGCTATTAAAATAAAAAGCTCTTCAGATTGGAGCAAATAGCTGAGCCAGGTCTCTGCTATGTAAGAAAGGTCCCGAGCAGGCAGCATGATAGGAGGGACAGTAGGGACAGAGTGGAGCATGGGCCTGTTTTCACCCTAACAGGTGGGCCACCAGGCCTGGGTGGGGCCGGGGCACTGGGTGACACCCTCAGGAGTCCCAAAAAGGCCACTGGCCACCAGGCATCATTCACAGCCACCACCGTATGTAATGTCACTGGGAAAGAACCAGAGACCTGAAGGACAGCAACTTGATGCAGACCTGCGCAATATGCAGGGACAGTGAGAGCCACACATACCCATCCTGTCTGCCTGCCCACCCGGGATGCAGAGTGCTTCCTCCCTTGTGCCCATGGACATTGACACAGCTGGAACCACACTGAGGAGAAATGCAGCAGCAACACACCCTGGTTATGTCACACCAAAGTGGAAGCTAATGCCAAGCAAGTGAGGGCACTTGGGAGGCTGAGGGAGAATCTGGATCACTGAGCACGCAATGCCAGCCTGGGTTACACAGTGAGTACAAGGCCAGCCTGAACTACAAAGTAAAACTCTGTCTCAAGAAAGAGAAAACAAAAGGGTGGGGGAGACAATGATCAAGTCAGAAGACACACCTTCCCCAAGACTATTTATTAGTCTCCCTCATGCAGCAAAAAAAGCCACCTGAGACTGGAAAACAATTTTACATTTCTGAGGTGGACAACACCCCCTGGAGGGTAGAGCTGTGGAGAGGGCAGTGCAAGCAGTGGGGAAAGACTGAAGGTAACAGCAGGAACTACTGACACAGCAGCCAGGAGGGCAGGAGAACTTATAAATAAACGTGAATACCAGCTGAATGGATAATCATCCTGGCTGGAAAACAAAAATCAGAAAACAAATAAAAACTGATAAAAAAAGAAAACCCACAACAAAAAAATCAGAAGTATTATAAGATCCCATAGTACGGGAAGCCCAGGTGGAGACTTCCAGGATGACCCCTGTGGCCCAGCAGTGCCTCTCAGGAACTAGGGCAGGCCTGACGGGGGACCATCAAGGTGACAGACTTCATGGACTGAATTCATCCATTGCAGAGAAAGCTTCGTGTTCTCCACTCACCCTGAGGACACCCGGGACACTCAGTGGAAACACATGGGTGGGTATTTCCTCACCAGGATAGACAAAGAGTGGTCCCCAAGAGCTGGGCTAGGGACATGACTGCTGCCACCCCTGAGGCTCAGTGAGGTGCTGCAGGACCAGGCAATGACCAGACTCAAGAAAGAAATCCCAAATGTTCAGAAAACCTAATAAATGAAAACTGCTGAAAATGACAACAGAACTTCTAACACAGGTGCTCCTTCCTTTTCACACAGCACAGAGACAGTGCAAGAAATCAGCATCATTTGCAAGCAGCAAGCAGTGGAAGAAACAAGAGAAAGGATATGCCACTTGTGACCTTAGGGAAGGCAGCAGCAGGCTTGGGCAATGTGCTGTCCACAGGGATCTGGAACTTGGAGCTGAGGGCCTAGTGGGGAAGGGTACCTGATCGCAAGAGGAGGAAGCTAGGTGGGGAGAGACAAATGGCCGACAATAGACACACTGGGGAGAGGCAGACTGGGTATCCTTAAGTTCTTATAAGACAGAGACAAGAGTGTCTGCAAATCAGAGTTGAGAGCACATCTGCCTGCCTGCCAAATGTCACACATCCAGCAAGGCAGCACTGAGCACACACATGGGGTGCTGACCCATGACGAAGCATCCGGAGAGGACACAGCCCTGGCTAGGCTACTGCTGGCTCCAGTCATATCCCAAACCCCAAGCTTAGCAGAAATAGCTATCCCAGGGACAGCTTGCTGCATAGCTCAGTGTCCAGAGAAAATATGTGCAGAGCAAAGCATGAAGGACAAAAGGAAGCAGTGGATTCCTTCCTTTTCACACAGCCCATGAGACAGCTCTGCCTAGCACTTGAGCGCTACAGTACCTTCAAAAGGCCCAGGTAAAGACCAAGCCCCACAACCAGTGTTCAGAGCCTGAATGTAGCCTGAGCACAGTGAAGGGGAGCAGGGAAGGAAGAAGACTGTGGGGTCAGGCTGTGCGTCCACGGGACCCCAGATCAGGACTGAGTATCTCCCTCAAGTGGTGGCTGAGCTGGTAGTGAGAACACTGACCCTGGGGGCCTGGGAAGGCAGCTGAGGCCTTGAACAGGAGGTGGGCCTGGGAGGCTGGGGACACAGCTGGAGCTGGGGGCCATGTGGGTGTTGATGGGTGTCTAGGAGTAACTGGATGCTCAATACAGGATGTCACCACCAGTAAGTGATCAAAAACCTGGGGGCAGGACTGGCATGGAAGGGGTAGCAGGAGGAGTGGCGTCAAGGGTGAGCAAGGGAGAGACCCCAGGGGCGCTGGCCTGGAATACACAAGGTCCACAAGACAGGACTCACCATCTTTCGATAAGTTGGCAAGAGCCCCCCTGGCCTTTGGGCGGCTATTCTCCAGTTCAATCTCAATGGCATCCTGGTAACTAGATATTTCACCTGGAGAAATCAGTCAAAAGAAGAAAGTAAGCACAAAGCAAACTTTCTAACAAAACTGAAGTATCTGTGTGAAAAGGCTGGCCAATTACCTTCAACTTCCTCCAGTTGTTTTGACAGGACCTGTTCAAGCTGAAAGAGAAGAAAGAGCACTTAGGGAGAAAAGTCCAGGCCTGAGGCCTCTCCTCACAGTGCCAACCCAGCTAGGGAGGTGGGTACAGCCCTCCTCAGGAACTGTGCTCCATCAAGCCCAAGTCGGGCCTGACGGGAGGCTGAGGCGAGGGTTAGCCCTGTACCACCACTGCCACCTCTGCTGAGTGCAGCCCTTGCCATGTGCAGCACTGACACAATGGTGACGGAGATACAGCTGTGGTGCCTCGGGGGGGGGGAGGCATTCTGTCTTTTCTCAGACTTCTGTGGCATCCCAAAGTATGTCTCGCTAGTTGGCCCACTCTGCACTCGAGCTTTGTGGGGCAAACCAGGCCCAATGCAAGGCTGGGTCGGTGGCAGGGCTGGAGGCGATCCCGGGTGAATGGTGCTGGGGAGCTCTGCACAAGGCGGACGGAAGTCCAGGGGGCATAGATGGACCTTACTGAGGGAGCGAAGACACGGAATACCAGGGCTGGATTCCCTCCTAAGGCCCTACCTGCTTCATTCGCAGTTTTCTCTGTCCAGCTGTGTATGAGGGGGGGTCACACTCCTCCTCCAGGTCAATTTTCATGAACTCGTCGATGGTCAGCTGACTAGTGGGGGTGTCTTCAAATTCTGTGAGCCTACACAGAGATGGGGCTGTGTCTACATTAGGGCCTCCATAGGCCCTGTCCCAGCAACAGTCAATAGCGGGGAGTCTGCACCGCTCTGACTAGTTTGTGCTTGAATCTTAGACCTTCTGTACAACCTTCAAAATGTTCAATGGAGAAGTTTTTAATAAAGCTACAGGTCAAATATTCAGAGTGGGACCAGGGGTTTAGCTCAGTGGTTCTGCTGCCTGCCTTGCAAGCACAAGGACCCAAGTTCAATTCCCGGTACCAAAAAAAAAAAAAAAAAAAAGTCATTTAAAAAAAATTTTTCAAAGTGAAGTAACCCTACCAGCCTCTAGAAACTGCATAAGAAATGCCGTTGGCTGAAGCACAGCCACTAGTGCCTGAGGCTTGTGAGGGGCACAACAATGGCCATAGGTCTATGAGAAACTCCGCACATATCATCACCACAGTCACCCCGACAGGCTGTAAGTTACCTACCAGAACAGCCATGCCTACCCCTTGACTATGCCCTGGGTACACATGCATGATGGCCCGTAAGGGAAGAGATGGGTCACTTGGGCTCTCAAAGTCCAGGATGAGCCACAGCACCTAGAGGACAAAGGGCCTACACAGGCAGGTCAGAAGCCTCTGCAGATCTTGCTTCACATGGGTCAGAAAGGTGAGTGGAGTGGGGGTGTGGCTGGCCTCTGAGAGCAGCCTCACCCGCAGGCAACATGCCGTAAGCTGGAGCGCTCACCTTTTCCGAAGAGTGGATTCGCACACTTTGACCACACTGATGACCTCTTTGACAGTTCTCCGGAAATCATGCATCCTGGCAGCAACGAGAAGGGCTAGAAAAGAACAAGAGTCCTCAGAACACAGCCTTGCTGTGACTGAGGAGAGAGTCCACAGCAGCCCCAGAGGTGGCACCGAGCATGGGAGAGCTGTGTCTGTGCCGGGGCAGTGGACACCATCACCTGGAGAGCAAGGGGGGAGGTGGAACCCATCTCTCCCAGCAGACAAACCGTGCAGGTACTCCAGGGAAGTGATGTGCCCTGCCTCCACTTGGGGCTCAGCCGCAGCATGTCCTACTTTTAAACATGAGGAGAATAGCCAAGCGTGGTGGTGCACGCCTGTAATCCCAGCACTAAGGAGGCTGAGGCAGGAGGATCGCTGTGAGTTCAAGATCAGCCTGAGCTACATAGTGCGTTCCAGGTCAGACTCAACTACATAGTGCGACCCTGTCTTAAAGAAACAAACAAAAAAAAAGAGGATAATTAAAGCAGAAACTCTGAGGACTTCACATGATCACTCAAAACATATGGATTAACTTTAGCATGACTCGTGTGGAAAACACTGGTTATGACAGGAGCTGAAGCCCAGGCTACAAAGGACAAGGGTGTGACCTTGCCATGTACTAACACCAAGGCCATAGTGCACAGAGAGGGCCCAGAATCTGTAGCACAAATCAGAATCAGTTCTAGTGGAAATGAGTATCTGGAGTATTAACACCTGGCATTTATTCCAGCAGGAGAAGAAACTGGGTACCTGAGGAAGCCAGGGCCCTGCCAGGCTGGGGCTCCTCCTGGGAAGAAGCAGGATCCAACCAAAGTCAGCCAGAACATTCCAGCACCAGGAGCCAAGCACAAAGCTGTCTGTGGCAGGGCAGCACGTCCCTGTAAGCGTGACCGGAAAAACGACCCCACTAGGGTCCCGGGTGCCTTCCACAGCAAGGACTTGGCATCTCATGAGAGCAACCACCCGAAACCAGGCTGAGAGTGGACATCCCACCACGCTCAGACAACCTGAAGTCAAGGTCAGGGTACCCAAAGACCTTGTTCTCTGAGACCTTGTCTGCTACTCAGCAGAAGGAGGTGAAAAGTTCTCAAGGGCTGAAGACCCTGTGGGCCGGGTCGTGGGCACAGAAGCCAGTTCTACAGCCAGCCCACCCTGAAATACAATCCACACCAACAGGTTTGGCTGCTCAAGGTCAAGGGTAAGGGTTGGGATGAAACTCAGTGGCACAGCACCTGCCTGGCGCATGAGGCCTGGGTTCCATCCCCAGCAACACATGGACACACAAAGATCAGTGCACCTGGCCGGACTGTGAGACTAAAGCTGCCACCCCAGGGGTAGGCCCGCATTTCCCACCATACCTGCTCCACAGAGGCCTGAGGGCCGCCGGCCCGTATGCATCCAGTCTCTCTTCATCCGCTGCAGCAGCCTCAAGGCTGTCATCGACACCTCATGGTTCTTCTCGCCAAATTCCAGCAGGTGGGCAAAGCGTGGGATGTAGAGGCACGGGTCTGTGCAGACACACCACCTCAGTGTGCTGCACACGTACGGCCAAGGACCAGAGGGCAGTGACCACACAGCCCAGCAGCCTCCAGGCTTGGGGGGCCCCACCCCTCTCCACACACACAGGTGCCCCAGGTCCCCGCCCGTGAGGCCAGCTTCTCAGGGTGCAGATGCGAGGGGGTCTACCCAGCAGCTTTGGCCATGATGATGAGAGAGCACCACACTCCTCCTAGTGCTCTCCAGGATTCTCAGAGTGGGTGAATTCACTCTCTAAGTTCATCAAGTGGCTTGCTTGGCTCTTGCATGCTTCAGGGGAGATGGGCACATGCGTGGACACATACACACAACTGCTCCTTGTGAGCACCTCCTTGGGATTGGGGACAGAGATCACTAAGCAATGCAAAGACTTCAGCTCATCAGAGTAATGCCATAGTGCACAGAAGGAATCTCACAGGGTTCTAAAACAGAATGTCCAGCAAGTTGTCCAGAAGACCTTGCTAAACAGCACAGCTAAGGCCAAAGTACAAGGCCAGGAGAGAGCTAGGATAGCTGCAAGTGTACACTGACAGGGGACAGTAGAGGAGGGCACTAGTGGGTACTGGGAAGCCCTGGACACATGGAGCAAGGAAGGAGGATGGGTCGGTTCTGTCCATGTTTCCAGGACAGCAGGAGGGATATGCACCAGCACCCACTCTCCTTCCAGGACCCACCTGACCTGAAAAAAGCTGAAACAAAAAGGTAAGGTGAGGCCTGCTATAAACATCTCAGACAAGAGGGCAGCCACACTTCCACCCACGTGGGTAATAGCAAAGAAGACATCAAAAGGGAAAAAGATGAGCACTGTACAACAAAGAGAAATCAATAATTTCAAAGAAGAAAAAACAGTTACAAATTTGTAGGTATACAGTAATAAAAAAGAATCACATGAAGCATGAAGCATAGTAAATAAGAAACTGGGTGTGGTGGCCCATGCCGATAAACTCAGCTATTTGGAAGGCTGAGGCCAAACGACAGCAAGTTCAAGGCCAGCCTGGACAACTCAATGAGATATTGTCTCAAAATAACACTTTTAAAAAATGGCTGGTAAAATACTTGTCTAATAGTGCAAGGCCCTGAGTTCTATCCCCAGTAACACAAACAGAAATTTCAAAAAAGTAGTGGAAAATTTTAACATAGTTCTCTCAAATTTGAGACCGATTAGGAAAAACAAGACTAAAGGGAGAGTCAGACATATCACCACTGACTCAATTTAATACAACAAGTTTAAACCAGGTGTGGTGGTGCACACCTGTAATCCAAGCACTCAGGGAGGCTGAGGTAGGAGGATCAATGCGAGTTCAAGACCAGCCTGGGCTACATAGTGAGTTCCAAGTCAGTCTCAACTACATAGTGAGAGTCTGTCTCAAACAAACAAACAAAAAAAACAAACAACCCCCCCAAAAAAAAACCAGGTTTTAAGTTTTGTACCCTACAGAGTGATCCTTCTTTTCCAAAATCAAAGAAACAGGGAGGGGCGGGGAAGTGGAAGTAAGAAGAAATAGGATGTGTTATGTACATGCACCAGGTCTGTCATGAGTGTAGTTACTATGTACTGCCAACATGGACTGATAAAAGCTTTTTAAAAAATCAATAACCATCACAGAATGGTGTGTATTAAAGAACAAAGAAAGCTTTGCTCAATACAGAAATCTTGCAGGACACATCTTTTGACTCCAAGTGTAATGCAACTTTAAAAATTAGCCAAAAAAGAGAAAAACATAGCCTCTTCATCTCCAAATACTACTGGGAAATACAAGAATAATCCTTCAGGTAAATTTATATAGACTTGAGCTCTTTTTACAGTTAAAGAAACAATTAAAATAATGAGTAACAAAATAAATCCTTTAAAAAAAAAGAAAAATAAGCAATAAATAAAAACAGCATAGTCCTGGCATAAAGACAGACATGCAGACCAACATTCAGAATAGAAAGCCCTTGCACTGACTACCAAAGACTTCCGACAAGGTGCTAGATGACACAATGAGAAGAGGACAGTGTGAGGAAAATGAAGAACAAGACAGGCTCATTAGAGTCCAAATGAGTTACACCATGTAAAAAAAAATTAACAAAGCAGCAGATTAAAGAAATAAGTGTATGACTTAAAACTATAAAACCCTTAAAAGAAATCACTGGGGAAGGCATTGTAACACAAAAAGCAAGGGTAACTACAGCAGAAATAGGATTACTTCAAACTAAAAAGTTTCTGCACGGAAATCTATCAACAGAAAGGAGAAAATATGCAAACCATGTATTTAATCAGTTTCAAGATCCAAAACATAGAAGTACTCAACTCAATAACAAATAAAACGACCTGATTAGAAAATCAGTAAAGGACTTGAATAGAAACTTGACCAACTTGAGCATGGTGGCCTATACTCCTACCACACTGGGAGGCTGAGGCAGGAGGATGGTAAGTTCAAGCCCAGCCTGGGCAAGTTAATGGGACCTTGTTTCAAAATAAAAACTAAAAGAGGGTGGGGATATAGCTCAGTGTGAAGGCTCTAGGTTCATGCCCCAGTGGTGAGAGAGAAGAGAAGGAATTTTATCAAAGAGATACAAATGTCTAGCAAGCCTACAGAAAGATGCCCACATCAGTAATTGTCAGAGAAATGTAAATCAAACCCTCATGCCCATTAGCATGGAGTGTGAAAACGATCAACACAGGACATGTATATGTACCAGTCCCTCAAAATGAATGCAATTATTATGTATTGAAAGCATATACTAATCAAGAAAAGCAAAATTGCTGAGCACAGTGGCACATGCCCATAACTCTAACTACTCAGGAGAAGCTAAGGTAGAAGGATTGCTGGTGTGAGGCCAGCAATTTAAAATAAATAAAATAAAATGTATGGGGATGTAGCTCCACGGTAGAACAGAGCACCTCTGGGTTTCATTACCAGTACTGGAAAAATAAAAAAAAATACTACTTTTGGGTATAGATCCAAGGAGCTGAAATAAGGATCTCAAAGGGACCCATAAAGGACAAATACTGTATATGGATATGTACACTCTGGAAAGCTGTCTGTACATATGCTACAGCCTAGGAAGCCCCTGCCAAAAACACGTCCACAGAAGCCATGGCAGGTGGCCACGTCCCAACTGTCAACTCTCAGAGAAAATGGTAAAGGGCATAAGCAGTTTTTAAGAAGTAATGCAAATGGACAACTCTAGGTTTCTAGAGTTGCCAAAACCAAAGGGACAGCAAAGAACAGTGGTTCTTGGGGCCAGAAAGGGGACACAAAAGTTACGCTCACCAGGAGCCAGGAGCTGAGTGAAGAAAGTGATCAGGAGCCCTGGGGCTCCCGGTAGCACCTGTAACACTGCACCTCGCCCCCAACCACCCAGTCAGGTTTTGTGTACAGCTTTTTTTTTTTTTTTTTTGGGTATTGGGGATCTAACTCAGGTCGTTGCACTTGCGAAGCAAGCAATGGGACCACTGAGATAAATCCCTGACTCTGGTTCTAATTATTCCTTCTCACGTTGTCCACTTCAAGCACCCACTACAATTCATGGATACGTGGGCTGTTTCCACTGTGTCCATTTGTATTACTTCTTAAAAACTGCTTATGCCCTTTACCATTTTCTCTGAGAGATGACAGTTGAGACAAAACCACTGTCACAGTGGCCACCTGCCATAGTTTCTGTGGACGTGTCTTTGGCAGGAACTTCCTAGGCTAGAGAGCAATGTACAGCGTTCCAGAGTGATTGGTTCTCAGAGTAATGCTCCCCAGCAGGGAGCGCTGGATCCTAGCACCCAACATCCTCAGCCTTCTTAGGTTCAGCCTCCTGCAGGACCCAGAGGTACCTTGCTTGCTAATAATGTGGGCACTTTTCATGTGCTTGCTGGCTATTTGGATAGTATCTGTTCCTATCTTTTGTCCGTTTCCTCTAAAAAATTGGGTCATCAATCTTTTTTTTTTTCGGTATGGGGGATTAAACTCGTGTCCTTGTGCTTGTGAGGCAGGCAGCAGAACCACCAAGCTAAATCCCCAGCCCAATCATTTTCTTTCTGTCTTATACTCCAGTAGTTCTTTGTTGGAAATATAGCAGGTATCTCCTGAAAAGGATGTTTTCCAAGAGAATAGTCATCAAAACTGAGTAGGTTGAACCTTGAACAGACTCGTAACCATAGAAAAAAACTGAGAGCTTATGTTCAAGCTTTAGGATGGGGTATGTTACCCATCTTTCAGGATTAGCACAAAGCTGCCCAGAAACCATGTGGAATGTTGCAGACACTCAAACTCCTGGACCTGGTCATATCTGAGCAAGGCCAATTGGTATCAACTATCCCTAACCAAGATACTCCACATAAAGTTCCAAGAAGAACAGTCAAACTGGCCAAGATTAGACAACACTAGACAGGCCCACAGAGGCTGGGCATATACCAGAAAGCCCAGGCCGCAGGGCAGGATGCCTAGGGCCAACCCGGCTTTCCAACCCCTAATGTGTAGTCTTGAGTATACTACCAACCTGTCCATGATTTTTCAAGGAATACAACTGTCCCTACCTGATTTACATAAAGCATTCGGGCAGAGTTGAAAGGGTGTTTCTAGTATCTGCAACAACCTAAATGATTTAAGCATGTTCAAAGAAGGCAGAAAAATAATAGCAGCAGTCCAATAAAAAACAATACAGGGTATGAACAAAATTCAGAACAAAATACAAATGGTCAATAAACACAGGAAATTGTGTTCAACTGTACTGGTCACTAAAGAAATCCAAACTAAATAGTGGGATATAATTAATTTTCCATGCACTAACTAGACGGAACCCAGAGCCTCAAACAAGCTATACAAGCACTGGACCACTGAGCCACTACCCTCAATCAAGACTAGACTCAGCCTTTCACATGTTCCAAGGGGCCAGAGGAGGGTATGTCACTAATGATGAACTGTCTTTCAATAGAGGTGGTGGGGGTCACAGGGTTTATGGGGCACCTGGAGACCAACTTGCAATTGTGCAGAGGGCTCAAGGTGTAGATAAGGGGGCTGAATAATTTTTTCTGGTGAGGAAGGGAATTAGCTCTATCAAGTTTTTCTACAAACCTGAGCCGTGGAGCCAAGAGCAGTGGTGCCCACCTGTAATCCCAGTACTCTGGGAGGCTGAGGCAGGATTGAAAGGTCAAGCCCAGCCTGGGTAAACTCAGCAACTTAGACACTGTCTTAAAATAAGAAACAAAAAAGCAGCCTTATATAAACACTTCAATGGAACACACTCTTATGTGGTCACATTATGTGCCTTGGCCTCTTGCAGTGGTTTCACAGTTCTTAGCTTTAAACACAAGAGAAATCTTTAAAAAGCCTGCATTGTGGGTAAAACACCAGGTAATATGTATAAAACAGGGAGCTCCAGCAACAACTTTTAACCTGCGAATTGGCAAAAGAAAAGTATTAGTATTATGTACATGAAAATTGGCTATTTATTGAAATACCACATTCATTAAGTTGGGGTACTGTATAATTTTTTTTTCTTAAAAATTGGCTATCTGTACATTTTGGCGTAAGTTTAACACATTGTTACATGAAAAAACGTTACTGAGGAAATGGAGCAGGCTTTTTTAAGGTTCTGTCATATATTCTGCAACGAATAAACGAAAATCATTTTAACCATTGCCACTAAAAAGATACAAAGGCAAAATTGAAAGGTTTTATTCTTTAAAAAAAATTTTTTTTCTAAAGAGCCCTCCCTATAACAGCAGTTTGTAATAGCTAGAACTTGGAAACAACTCAAATGCCCATCAACTGGAGAATGGATAAAGAAGATGTGGTTTTTCTATAAAATAGAGTATATTCTGCCATAAAGAATGAGAAACCAGAAACATAAAGCTAAATGGATGTACATTGAGGCTATACTCTTAAGTGAAATAAAAAGGACAGAGGAGTAAATACCAAATAGTTTCTCTGGTGTGAAAAACCAAAAGTGTAAAAAAAGTTCAAATGGTATAAATGAGTGTGAAGTAGGAAGAAAATGGCTAAAGGGGAAGCGGGAAGGGTAGGAGAAGGGAAATAAGGGAAAAGACAAAATGTGAAAAAAGGAAAAAATGGAAACAAAATCTTTGTAAATAGGGAAGGGTGAAGGGGGTGAAGGGAGGGCATGGGAAAAAAACAAGAACCGAGACATATCATATAAAGGTACAAAATCCCAATGATGAATATAACTGTATTGTTTGCTTTAAATGTACCAATAAACTTAATGGGGGAAAAATAAAGAGCCCTCCCTACTTATGCACGTTTAAAGCCTCTGAAAATACATGGATAACAAAGCTGATCATATTTTGCTATAATCTGCAGTTGAAAAAAACGCAACAAAAAGGGGGAGGGGGCTTGAGCTCAGTGAGAAGTCCCTGATTTCAATCCCCAGTACCAAAAATCAAAAAGCCCCAACCAAAACCGAGCTGCTAACATCTCGTTTCCGCGCGCTAAGGGCGCACTGACTGAATGGATGAGAACAGCTGCCCGAAGGTGCAAGTCCCCGGCAAGGTGGCTGAAGCTCACCGGCCCGCACCTGTCGGATCCGAGGCTAGGGCTGGGCCGCCGCAGGGGCGGGGCGTCAGGAACGCGCAGTGACGTACCGTGACGTCACGAGATGCGCCGGCGCAGCGGCGAGTA